CATGTTCCCTCTCCTGGTCATTATCCCCGGAAGGAAGATTTTTGAAATGAGATTTTTCTTAAGGACTGCATGTGAAGAATAAGGACATATAAGAACTTTCAAAAAAAAGAATGTTTTCAGGGTCTAAATTTATACTTCTAAAGCATCCTTACCCTCTTATATCTCACTTTGGCATCACAGAAACGATTTTGGCGGAAAAGATAGTTGCCAAACTCCCGTTCAGTAGCTGCCACTTTTAGGACCTTCTGAAGTGGAAACTCATCTTGTTGCTCCTGAGGACCAAAGACAAGGACACCCAGCAAGGAAACTGAAAGCCACAATACCACGATCCAAGTGCTGTTATAGATATTAGTTTTTCTCCTTCAGATCATGCACTTTCGTTTAGTGCCGTATGTGTGCCAAGCACTGGGCTTAGTGACCCTGCAAAGGTCATCTCGGTGGCTCCCAGCAAAAGCTAAAGGTATTACTAGTCCCATTTTATACATTAGAGCCAAAAAGCGGTCTATTCCTTTGGTCCTTCCAGAGATGCTCCCCGAAGAATTAGAAACTGATGGAACTTGCCAAGCACGGAAAGCAGGTCTCACAACAACCATTTATCCAACAAGGATTTAACAGGTCTTCGTCTGCCCGGGGCCCTACTGGTCTTCCTGGCTACAATGTTGTACCCTGGGTACATGTCAATCACCCACAGAGCCTCTTTTCAAACACGATGTCCTGGCCTTATCCCTGCCTAGAGATTCTCAATCAGTACACCACAGGTGGGCCTCAGGCATTTGCAAGAACCTCTGTTTTGTGGAAAGGTGAGAAAAAGGTAAGGGCCCTCACTTGAGGCGATGGCAGTTTAGTGGGGATATAAACCTAGGTGGACATCTAAGGCCACACACACACACAGTCTGTGTGGGACAGCATGAGAGAGAGTGTGTATGGCTGCCAAAGAGATCACAAGCCCTAGTTCTGTCTGATGGGTTAAGTGAAAGGCTACAAGGAAAGGGAATGTTTAAAGTTATGGGGACAGAGGCCATGTGCCCCCATTGGCCTGGGACTTTCCCAGTCTACACCTGATGTCCTGGGATCTCAGCCAATTAATAATCTCCTTCGCTCTCAAGCATTTTACGTTGCACAATAAAGCATATGTTCTCCCTAGTCGACCACTATCAATGGTTGCTAGAAACCAAACTTAATGTTGAGAAGCAAATGCTCACAGTCTTGCACGGAGAACTAGGCAAAGGGTGACTAAAAATCACTTCAAACTGCTGGTCCAGAACAAACCCAAGGTTGGGCCTCGGCCTAGTTCATTTGCCCATACACAGGAGTCATTACTAAGATGGGTACGTACCAGGAAATAAGGGAACCCCTCCACGGCCGATGCTACCACCACACAGGAGCCCCGGGGTGGAATGTGGGGCAGAGGATCACCATCAGAGAAGGGTAATTACCAAAAACACAAACTCATTCTCTCTTTAAAGTATGGACATCTACGCTCCAGAACTTACAGCTGAAAGGGCCCAAAACTTGTCTGACTCAGCAGAGTCCAGGAAGTCAAGTAGCTCAATCTCAAACAGGACAGTGGTATTTGGGGGGATCAAGGGAGGGCAGCCCAGTGTTCCATAGGCATAGGATGGTGTGAACAGAAACCTGGCCAGCTCTCCTCTCCTCATGCTCAGAAGGCCCAACTCCATGCCCCAGAGTGTAATATCTGGAAGAAGACACAAAGAATTTGGAAGTTTGCCCAGCATCCTGATCCAACGTTATCAATTTCTTCCCCCTTGAAGTCCAAATCTTTCCACATCATACTCCAAGCCTTCTGCACTACGGTCCCGACTCACTTTTCAGTCTGTTTCCCACTACCACCACCATTCCCAAACTCCAACTTCTGTGGGCTCTGCAGCAATCTAGCTTCTCTACCCCTGTTCATACAGTTCCTTCTTCCTGCAAGGAAGCTCCTGCTTCCTCACCCCAGGCCCAGCTTCTATCCTGACTGAAATCTTACTTAAACTTCAAGGCTCATTTTAAATGCCCCCTCCTCCATAAAGCCTTTCCTGATCTTCCCGGCTGGAATCAATTGTGCCTTCATTAAGCACTCCCACAACACTACTTACACCTCCCAGGACCTCATCCGATTCAGTGAATGTGCTCAATCTCCTTACTCTAGCTGAGATGTTCTAATCATCTGAGCACATCTTCTCTTTTCACCCTGTGTTACGGATATTAAGCCCCCGATGAACGTTGTTAACAAACAAACATGCCCCATAATTCTCAGGATGCAAAGGTAACCTTACCAGGTAAACCATCTCCCGAGTATCTACGCCTCAAAGGGAAATGTGTAGGCGAACAGGGCTGGTTTAGTAAAACCCAGCCTCAGAAAAACCAACTCAAAGACTCCCTGCTCTGAAGCATTTCCACAAAGAATCCCTGCTTTCCTGGCTGCTCATCTCAACTTACCCTCTCCGAGTTTCATCAGCCGGGGAGTTTTCCTAAACCAATTAGAATCAAAAGGTTTGTCCATATGCTCCAGATATCCAGAATATTTCACTAGGACAGAAAACAAACAAACAAACAAACAAAACAGTACAAGAAAAATAGACCAAGAATGTGCACACCTCCATATCAACTCACTGTTACAAAACAAAAAACAAAAAAACGATGGAATTCGATGCGTTCAAACCGTCTCCCACCCAGAGTGATAGGAAAAATCTTTGCTCAACGTTTGGACGCCTGCCCTTTGGCTGTTTCAGGAATTTGGCTGGTAAGCCTCAAGGTCCCTTGTTCGTAGTGGCCTCACGCAAAGGGGAGATGGGTTCCCTCGTTTCCCTTAAGAACGTGAACTGTAACAAGCGAGTTCTACCTTTTTTTTTTAAACATAACCTTCCCTCCCCACCTCCCAAGGTAAGGTGCAGAACAGGCTTATGGACCGGTGCTTCTGCATCGCCAGGTGGGAGGCAGATGGTACCTAGCACGGAAGCATCTGGGGTCACCAGCTCTCCGGCACCCTCTCGGATGACGTCCTTTAGCACGCCCCGGTCCCCGGAAATGTCCAGCATCCTTCGACTTAACCTCTGGTACGGAGACTTGCGGGGAGAGACACAAGACCTCAGAGCCCCCGGCTGGCACCCCGACCCCGGCACCCCACGTCCGTGCCTCCGCGGCGCGCAGACTCTCACCTGGCCGGAGGCGTTGTCCCCCTGCAGGACTCTTGGGTTCCGCGTGCTCCCCCCCATGGTCACGTGGCCTACCCGGCGGCAGCGCGAGCCCTCAACCTCCTCGCCCTCCCCGGGGCGGTGGCCCAGCCACCCCTTTATATCCAGCCGCGCGCCCCCAACCGCAGCGCTAGGCTCAGGGGCCGCGTGGAGGTTCCAATCGCTTGGTGCCAACCGCCACCCACCGCCCTGAGCCCTAGGGCGGCGAGCCTGAGCACGTGGCGCGGACTCACGGCGCGTGATGGGGCACGTGACGGGGAAGCGCGCAGCTGGACGGGGCACGTGACGGGGACGCACGGAGCGGGCGCGGAGGATGATGGGAGATGCGGCGGTGGCCCACGGAGCGCGATAGGGTTTGTGGCGGGGCGTGCTGGAGCGCCTGGCGGGGGACGCGTGGATGACGAGGAGGTAGGTGTAGGGGACGACGGGAGGCGCAACGGGGAACGCGACGGGTTCGCCTGTGGCAAGACGGGGCTCACGGGGGGAATGTGGGGAACGAGAGGGGGCGCGTGGCTGGGGTGCGCCGAGTGACAAGGCACGTGACAGGGGCGGGACAGCGTGAAGGGGCTCTCGACGGGGAAACGGGGAAAGCTGTGCGGGCGGGAGGGAGCACCTGGCCGGGACGTGTGGGATGGCGCGGGACATGGGCCCCCCGGGGGGTGGTGGGGGGACTGGGGGCAGGGGCTTGCGGGGGGGGGGAACCTGTGGCGGGAGCGCGCTGGGGAGGACGAGGTTCCAGAAACGGTCTGCTGCCGGAAGCCGTCAGGCCCCACAGAAGAGGGTTATCTCCTCCTTTTGCACTTTTCCTCGTCCTCCTCCTGGTACCGGAGCCATTTAGGCGCGGACACAGGCCTTTAAAGCCCAAATGCCCAGTTCGTGAGAAAAGGAGGCGACGTGTCCCCATATTGCTCGTCATAGACCCACAGAACCCGGACCCGCTCCCTGGCTGTTACGGGGTTGCAGGGCTCTTGTCTCACGGAGCGGAAGCCCGAATCTCGTGGGTACAAAAGGGTTGAAGTGAGGTCAAAGTTGATTAAGTGAAGGTGAGAGCGGAAAGGATAGAAGCTCTCTGGAGTGACAGGGCGCCCCGATGGGTTGTCACTGGGGGCTTTTAGCGGCAGACTTTCATGGAGAACTGACTGGGAAGCTTGTGGCCTTGAGTTTCCTGTGCCGTCTTGGTTTGAGCATGGACTCTTGATGACACGCCAGTGACTTAATTGTTTGAGGTGTGGTCATTTTCTAGGATTACGCTGTAGCCGCCAAAGAAAATTACTTCCTGACATTTAGGGCCAGGTGGTCTGTTTCTTTATCTCTTGTTCACCTGGCTTAGCGCTTCTGCCTGCCAGGAATAGCTTCAGAGCCCAGCCAGGGGCCCCCTCGGTCTCCCTGCCTATACCTTAACCCTTTCCTTATTCATGGGGGTGCAAAGCAAGGATGGGCCTGATCCTGCCCCCTCCGGCTTGTTCCCTGGGTCCGTCCTCGCTTGCCTACTCCAGGACGGAGAGGTCGCCCCTCTCTCCTACACCAATCTCGCCTTGACTACCGGGCCGTTTCTTCAGCTTAGATGTGTCCTAAAATGTCACATCTTAAACAAGCCCCCCTTTGTCCCACGTCTCACAGGTGGCCCCGTTTCCTGCTCTTCACAGAAAAACTTTTCACAAGAGTTGCTTCGAAGGCTTTCGCAAAGATTTTACGCCCATCCTTCATTTTCTCTTTTTTTTTTGACTATTATAAAAGTTTATTTAACAAAAAAGTTCAATATGAAAATGCACACGACCTGATTTTTATATTGTAGTGAAACAGGTACTATGGAGGGGACATGTGGAAGCAGTTGATTTCTTCTGATGAACACACCCATTGTTTATACTCGCTCCAAGGCTTCTAACATGATGATACTATTTCCTCGTATTACCACCATTCCAATATTGTTCTGTTGCCCACTAGTTGCCATCTCCACACATTCATCTATCACAAGATTCATAAACGGATCGAACCCCCGTAATATTCCTTGGACATGTCTGCCACCATTTAATTTCAATGACAATTTCTTGTCCATAAATTTTTTCAACTCGGGAGGGTGAGCTTTGCTCATGGTGTCTACTGCGCGAGCTCAAAGATGCCTCCCTCCTTCATTTTCTCTTTGACCCACTTCGGTACCACTTGTCCCTGCTCCATGTCACCAGCACTGCACTGAATGCCATAAGCCATAAGATGCCTCTTTGTCCTCAGATTAGTGGACTCTTGCCAGCATTTGATGAAGCTGACCTCTCCTTGAGTGCTTTTTTCTTTTCTGTATTAGTTTCTTATCTTCACAGTCGGTTACCAGAAAACTAGTTGTTTAGAGCCGCAGGTATTTATGATCTCATCTGTTATCAATTCTGTAGGTTAGAAATCTGACACCAGTCTCACTGGACTCAAATCAAGGCCTCAGCCTTAATAGAGGTTCTTGGGAAGAACCTGAAGCCCATTCATGTTGATAAATCCAGATCCTTGGAGCTCTATACCTGAGGTCCCCACATCCTTGGCACTTATCAGCCAGGGGCCATATTTAGCTGTTAGAGGCCTTCTCTCCTGCCCTTGCTCCTGGGCTCCTTACAGGTCAGAGTTAGCAACAGCATGCTGAATCTTCTCATGCTTTGAATTCTCTTGCCTCCTCTTTTGCATGCCTTCCTGACTCTTGCCCGGGAAAGTTCTCTACTGTTTCTTTTTAAATTTTTTTATTAAAGATTTATTTAGGGCGCCTGGGTGGCTCAGATGGTTAAGCGTCTGCCTTCGGCTCAGGTCATGATCCCAGGGTCCTGGGATTGAGCCCCGCATCACGCTCCCTGCTCAGGGGGGAGCCTGCTTCTCCCCCTCCCTCTGCTTCTCCTCCTGCTCATGTTCTCTCTATCTCGAATGAATAAATAAAAAAATCTTAAAAAAAAGGTTTATTTATTTTTAAAGAAAGCGTGTAAGGGGGAGGGGCAGAGGGAGAGTGAGAATCCTCAAGCAACTCCCCACTGAGTATGGAGCTCGATGCAGGGCTCAGTCTCAGGACTCTGAGATCATGACCTGAGCTGAAATCAGGAGTTGGACGCTTAACCAACTGAACCATCCAGTTCCCTACTGGCAAGGGGTCCCAAAAGTTTCCTACTGTTGAGTGGTCGTATGGATCTGCTTCCTGGTGACTGTACTCTCCTGATTTTCTTCCTACCTAACCAGCTGTATTTTTTCAGTCATGCTCTTCTTCCCGATCTCTTTACATAGTAGCAACCTCAGGGCTCTGTTCTTGGATGCTTGCCCTTCTCTGTTTGTTTTTTTTTTTTAAGATTTTATTTATTTTTTTGTCAGAGACGCAGCAAGAGAGGGAACACAAGCAGGGGGAGTGGGAGAGGGAGAAGCAGGCTTCCCGCCGCTGAGCAGGGAGCCCGATGTGGGGCTCGATCCCAGGACCCTGGGATCATGACCTGAGCCGAAGACAGACGCCCAACGACTGAGCCACCCAGGCGCCCTTTGCCCTTCTCTGTTCTATCCCAGAGAGAGCCTAGCCATTACCACATTTAAATATATGATGTACTTTAAACAGGTGTTATATACCTGACCAGCCTAGAGCCTCCCCTGAGCTCCAGAGCTCCGGGCTCCTGTGCCCAATTGCCTTTCTCAGTGGTTCTCAAAAGTGTAGTTCCCAGGCCAGCAGCAGTGTTGTCTGGAAACTTGTTAAAAATGCAGATTCTTGAGCCCATTCCTGTGCTCCTGAATCAGAAATTTGGGCCAGAGGCCAGAAGTTTGTTTTTACTAGCACTCCAGGTGATTCTGTTTGCTGAAGTCTGCAGACCACTGCTACTCAGTTGCTCCACCTGGATGTTCTGAGGTGTCTGACTCTAAATTTCCCCACCTACTGTTTCACCTCGATCTTTTCTGTATCAGGCTTCACTATCTACACACCCAGGTGCTAAAGCTACTGTGTATCTACACAGTGGCCAGAGTGGTCTCTTAAAAATACCAGACAATATTTTCTTGGCTTAAAGTCCTCCAGTAGCTCCCACTGACCTTGAAATTGTTACTATTATTGGGCGCCTGGGTGGCTCAGTTGGTTAAGCGACTGCCTTCGGCTCAGGTCATGATCCTGGAGTCCCAAAATCGAGTCCCACATTGGGCTCCCTGCTCAGCAGGGAGTCTGCTTCTCCCTCTGACCCTCTTCCCTCTCGTGCTCTCTGTCTCTCATTCTCTCTCTCTCAAACAAATAAATAAAATCTTAAAGAAAAAAAAAAGAAAATAAATTGTTACTATTATTATTTTAAGTAGGCTCCATGCTGGGCCCCAACACTGGGCTCAAATTCACGACCCTGAGATCAAGACCTGAGCTGAGATCAGGGGTCCGATGCTTAACCCACTGAGCCGCCCAGGCGCCCCTGCCCTTTAAATTAAATCTAAACATTTACCCTCCTCTGCAGGGACCTCTCTGGCAACCCCTCTGACCTCCTCTCCTGGAGTTCCCTCTCACTATGCTCCAGCTACTCAGGTCTCCTCTCTAGGGTAGCTCATACATACCGAACTCTTTCTAGTCTCGGAGACTTTGCATTTGCTGCCCATTGCTTGGTCTGCCCTCCTGTAGTCTCGGTAGCTGGCATTTTTTTTATCCTTCAGGCCTCAGCTCAACCATCCATCCTCAGAGACACTGCCCTGCCCTTTTCTAACATGTCTCTCAAACAACCCGTTATCTCCTGCCCTTTTTGTTCACTACACAGTTTACTTCCTGCCTAGCATTTAATACTACGATGTTGTCTTATTTATGATCCTATCTCAGTCCTACTACCGTTGTATTACAAATTCTGAAAGGACAGAAACCTCATTGGTCTTGTTCTCTGATGTCTCCCTAATGGTCAGGTTGGTGCTTGATACGTAGCAGGTGCTCAGTAAATATTTGTTAAATTAATAAATTATCTTTCTGCATAGCTGTGCCAGACCTTGGTCTTACTTGTCATGGAGTAGAGACTGCCCGCACTGGCAGACAGGAATGCTTAGGCCTATGGGGCCTGCAGGTCTAGAGCTCTTCCTTCCTTCCTTTCTTCCTTCTTTCCTTCCTTTTTATTCATCTAAACGTTTGTTTTTAGATTTTTTTTATTCATTTAAGAGAGAGCGAGAGAGAGCGCATGAGCAGGGGGGAGGGGCATGTAGAGGAAGAAGCAGGCTCCCCACTGGGCCCGACATGGGGCTCAATCCCAAGACCCTGGGATCATGACCTGAGCTGAAGACAGACGCTTAACCAACTGAGCCACCCAGATACTCCTCTTTCTTTCTTTCCTTTTTTAAGATTGATTTATTGAGATGCCTGGCTGGCTCAATTGGTTAAATGTCTGCCTTCAGCTCAGGTCATGATTCCAGGGTCCAGAGATTGAGTCCTGCATCGGGCTCCTTGCTCAGCAGGGAGCCTGCTTCTCCCTCTGCCTCCCATTCCCCCTGCTTGTGCGTGCTCTCTCTCTCTCTGACAAATACATGAAGTCTTTAAAAAAATAAAAATAAGATTGATTTATTTTTAGAGAGAGTGCGCATGCGAGTGTGGGGAGGGGCAGAGGGAGAGAATCCCCAAGCAGACTCCGTGCTGAGTGTGAGCCCAGGGCTTGATCCCAGGACCCATGAGATCATGATCTGACCCAAAACTGAGAGTCAGAGGCTTAACCAACTGAGCCACCTAGGCACCCTTAGCGCTCTTGTTTCATTTTCTTTCTTTTTTTTTTTTAAGATTTTATTTATTTTTCAGAGACAGAGACAGAGAATGTACAGACAGAGGGAGAAGCAGGCTCCATGTGGAACTTGATCCGAGAACTCTGGGATCATGACCTGAGCTGAAGGCAGACTCTTGAACCGACTGAGCCACCCAGGCGCCCCAGAGCTCTTGTTTCTTAACACTCCGAGAGACCCACTCCCACCTTTTTTCCAGTCAGTAATTTTTACCACACTCCCATGTTTTGCATGGTATATTAAGACTATAATATTTATTGACTGTATAAAGAAATGTCATTGAACTTCTAAATCTCTGAGAGACTTTATACAAAATGTTCCTAATTCAATAATATTGAGTAAAGGAAGTGAGACACAAAAGAGCACATACTAGGTAATTCTGTTTATTTGAAATTCAAAACCAGGCTATGTTAATCTACGATGGTAAGAATCAGGTTAGTAGCTATTCTTGTAAGGGGGTTCTTACTGGAGAGCACATAGAGTGCCTTCTGGGTGCTGGAAACATTATGTTGAGAGTGAGTATACACATGTAATGTGTACATCAAGCATGTAGTTAAGATTTGTGCCCTTTATAGAACTCCTATCTCAAAACATTATATAAAAATACCTTCAAAAATAGATTCAGAAAGAATTGTGTTGAAACATCAGTCCACTCCTGTTTGGGGTCTGTAAGGTGTGGCTGGGGACCCACTCAGTCTCCCCCACCTTCCCTAAAGCACAGCCAAGGTGAGCACCTGCATGTTGGAATTATCAATGTTGCTGGCCAAAAGGAGGCTGCCTCCGTAGTCCCGTGATATGGCCCAGTTTCCACCTGATTCTGGGCGACCTTGAGGACACAGGGGTGTTGCTGGGAAAGAGGAGGAGGAAAGGGGCAGAGACTAAGGGTGAAGCTCACGTTCAGCTGCAGTCCCCACACCTCTTAGTGCCACTGCCCATCCTGGGGAGAAGAAAAAACTGAGCAGATCTATTGGACATCTCTGCGGATTCTGAGAAAGCAGGTAGTTCATTATGGAGGCTCTCCCTAGGTCTGCTGCCAACTTCTACCTTGGTGCCTCTTCTCTCTCAGTGCCAGTCAGCTTTCACAGGGTCTCAGGCTCTCCAGAATAGCAGTCTCTGCTTTAGAATGACCTGGGGGGTGTTTGTTATAAATGTAGATTTCTGGGGCTCACTGAAAATGTGTGAAGGGGTGACTCAGGAAATTGTGCTTCCAATAGCTGCTCACCAGTTTGAGAACTGATCTAGAACATGGGAAGGACCTTTGTTTGTTTTTGCTGTCCATTGCTGTGTCCATGCAGCTAGAGAGCACATTGCTGGTGTCACTCCAAATGACCTTGCAGACAGCTCCTTTTGTGTTTACCTCCAAATCTGAGTGAAAAATGTAGAATTCTGCATTTCCA